ACGTACACAGGCAGGCAGGCCGACAAGTAGCTCAAGCGTCACATGACATCCGCATGCCGTCAACCTGGGCAGTCGAATAGTCAACGAATCAATCAGCGCGGACAGTTCTATAGTAACACCGGATTGGCTGGAGTCGGTCGATATCGTAAAAGAGTTAGTCTGCATGAGGTGAGTGCATGCTTGTGTGGCAGATAGCATCATCGGCCAATCAATCAATTAATCAAGCAAGCAGATTGTAGGCATGTAAGAAACACGTTACAGTTAACTTTAGGCCACAATACCACCGAGCCGCGAAATCATTGCCTACGCATACGTGTTATTCGAGCTGTCGGTATTATTTAGTGACATGATGGTGTGACGATTTAGGCTTATACTGTCGCCGTGTGTATGAGACGAGAAGAAATGTGCTTCAGCATTATGCCAACAGCCTAATCAATTCAAACTAGCAGCGGCCAACTGGCCGCTGGCAATCTAACACGGAGGAAAGATACAAACTCCATGAGCGCCAACCCCAAACGAAACATGAGCGTGTATCACACTCAATAGTGTTTCGCTAAAGGCGTTGCACCTTACCTTACCATTGCGTGCCGCATGGCTCGGGATTTCGCTTTTTAACTGAATAATATGTTCAAATAGTTAATTTGCAGATTTGAAGTTTCTATGTCGATTGTGAAAAGTTCAGTAGCCTCGGTGGGAATAGTATGTGTTCGCGACAGATTCGTTTCTTCCACTGTTTAGCATGCTTTGGCTGGGAAAAAGAATGATGAGGATTTGAACAATGCGCCATCGGAATAAATGTGTTCCAGAATCCGCTGAAGGCCAATGTATGAGCAAGATGACCTGGTCTATAACCAGCCAGATTTTCTTCAGTACGGTAGAGACGAAAATCTATAATCTTATTTATAAACTGTTCGGAGCAGTAGTATCAGAGCAGTGTGAATAACTTTATCTAATCTAATCGGCCGCACCCCGAAAACGAAGATTCGACATGGTCAACATTTAAGTCTTAAATCTTCTGCTTACTGTGAAGAGATGTAACAGTTGGGGATCGCAGAAAACAGACTAACTTTCCGGAAATTCTTATTTGGTTGTTCAAAGGTAGTCATGTGTTTTAGCAAATGACTCACTCATTCTGTTGACCATTTGCAATTGAGGTTCGGTATCTGTAACACGTGATGTGTGAAGCCAGTTGTTGATTATTGATCAATCATTAGACTATTCTCGATGTTTATTTTTGTAGTTCGATATCTTTGCGAGCAACTTTAAATCGTCGAGTAATAAAATAGTGCCGGACGTTTACGAACGTGGTAATGTTGCCGGGAGACTAGAAATTACGACGCTGATCAGGTGGTCTCGGTCACCGCTACATACGTCGGTCCAAAGGAAGTTTATCCGACTTCAGCTACCGCCGTCTAACTTGTTCATACACCGTGACAGTTTTTGGTAGATGGAAGCTTTTTTGCTCAAACCTAACAGCACGAATGTCTCTTCGAATGATTACCCAGATAATTTCTGTCTGAAAAATTGTCTGGTTAAGGTGGATCGCCTCTGAACGAGCATGCATCTTTCCCTGCTGAACTGGTGGTCGTAAGAAGCTTACAGATGAGACTAATTTTTTATAAGGCCTAAATGTATAAGGTTATTTCCCTAACCGTTTTTTTTCAGAATTAACCCGGTAGTTTGTTCATCTTCAACACACACATTTGAGACCCTATCCCACGCCTTCGCGGTGTTTCACATCGAACTGAGTGTGTCCACGTGCCTTTCATTCAATCATCACGCGCCCTAAATTTGTGCACACTTCCTGTTGATTCGTGCTGCTCCCAGTTAGGTTTTGTCTGTTGATCAGACTGAGTTTGGGTGCCTAGACAACCCCACCGAATCACCCAACTGACAGTTTTCACATCACCCACGAATACATTTCCTTTGTCATCTCATACGGAATGCAGTAACGTTTCTTTCAAATGACTCTTCTATCCNAACGTTTCTTTCAAATGACTCTTCTATCCTTCCCTCTCTCCGTTGAAAAAAGTCTCAAATTGCCAATCAATATAATAGCGTAAACAAAACAGCTGAAAATTTTCGACTTTATTGAAATTCCAGTCATTCGTTTGCCACCACTTCTCACCACTTATGTTGTCCTCACTGTGTGAATGTTTATGTCAATTTGCCAATTTTTACAAATATGCTCATACTATTTTTGCATCTTTGTAAGCAGGGGATTCCTTCGCAGAATCTCATTTTACTTTCACTTCTTTGGGATTCCTGTTCTATTCCTCATTTCGCCTTTTTTGTCCTCATTCAAGAGGATTTACCTAAGGTATGACAGAAAATGCGAGGCAGCATTTGCCGATTGTATTGGTCGTATTCACGTTGTTTCTATTTCGCGCACTCTTCACTCCACCCGATCGGCACCTTGCTCCGTTGGATTCCAATTCAGGTTTCGGCTAACCACGGGCGCCGGTTATGAATCATTAGGACTACTACTACTACTACTACTACTACAGACTCTGCTCTGGGCTACGTGATATTATCGCGTTTTTCTTTTTTTNTATATATATATATATATATATATATATATATATATATATATATATATATCGCGTCGTTAAACAAACAAACAACCCGGATACCCTCGGGTTAAGCAGAGCTAAATATTACCAGGCGCGTCCCTGGGTTGTGGATAGAGGGACACCTTCATCGAAGGAGGTTAACTGTGGATAAGTTGTCGCATACCGCAACAAATAAGCAATCGCGAACAAACAGCGGCGACACTACCAGGGTGTGGTGGGTTTCAGGCTGGTCACCTGGCTCCTTTTTAAAAGCCACATAAACCCAATGACGGTGTCGTGACAAAGGTCGATGTGACTGGCCATTGACCCCCTCACTTCCGAGGCGAGGGATTACTTCCTGCTGCCTTGCAGTTCGCAAAGGCCAGAGGTGCACCCTCAAAATAATAAAAAAACGCCGGGTGACACTGGGGATATCTCTCGTACCAACCTCCCAAGGAACTTCATGATTATAACCATGTCTGGAACCGGCTTATCTTTTCCAAGGAGCTGCAGTAAAGTAAGTAAACAAACAATTATCCAATTCTCTTTGGTTAAGATCTCCTGTACCACGAGTTGCTGTTGCACCCCGTCGAAACCAAAACCAGTGTGATAAATCTGGACTACACTATAATGTAACAACGTAAATAATAACGTTTATGGGATCTGGGTTTGACCATTTCGCTCCTCACAAAATTTGGCCACCCAATCACATATTTTTCAAAACGGATTCAATTTTATGGTCAATACATACATTTTTATTTTCTTGAGTAATAGTAATAGTAATCTGAACTGAATATTCGTACTCGAGTTCCGGAAAGAGGCCTCGGATTTTACATCCCAAGTTAATCCGGTGCAATATTGCATCACTTTTGAACTAGCTTTTTTCTTCTCCGAACAGCCGAAACGTGGAGCTCTCCTGCCGTGTTTTTCGAACTTTTTTATTACACAGCTGTGTGATGGACAGCAGACGGAGTGGAACCCCATAGTCACGCAGACCTGCTGTTAATTGATGGTAACCGACATCCTAAGCCCCGACCGAGACTTGTAGTGGTGAACCACATAAGCCCCACTAGGTCAGGCGTGGTATAGAACCGGACGATAGCAAAACTGTTTACCACCGTAGTTGAGTGGTGGTGGCGTGGCTCGGACCACAGGGTCCAGAGTGC